AGTTATTACATTTGAATTCACAATGTCAAATTTTATTTCAAGGCATTTGAAAAAAAGGAGATGCATACCAAGGGAAGAAAAACACAGACTTTTATTTAGTGTTGTCATAAAACCCAACCTTTGCAACGTGGCAAACTCTTGCTGTGTACTTCTGTTAATGAGAGGGGAGAAATGAAAATGCAGAGTAGTTCCCTATAAGCTGTATAACTAATACATTCTAAAAATTCTGATCTCTTAACCTCTTGCACCAGTGCCTTTGTCCCTGAAGAATGGCAATATTCCTTATTACTACCTATTTACATCTCAGGGTGTTATGAAGATGAATGAGACCACTTAAATGCTTTGGGTGGCTCAAAGCATTGCTCTAACTAGAGAAATTGAACTGGTATGAAACAGTTTGTTAGCATTCCCTGTTGGCGGGGAGCCAGAACCATTACTCCTTCTCGTTGGAAAGGTTGGTAGCCTTTCTCGTGAACCTCACATATATTGTTTTTCCTCATCTGTGTGCTCACAATTGCAAGATAAAGTGGTTGCCTCTTCTCTAATTCCCTGGAGAACAGCCACTTGCAGGGGACCATAGATCTTACTTTACTGTGCAAGTGGCCCAACATCTGGGAATATCAATTTTTTTATTCCCCTTAGAAGATTTTCTTTCTTTGTGTAATCTTTAACTTCGTAGGTTGTTGACCTCAACTGTGATGGATCAAGCTATCTTGGGAGATTTCAGGTCCCTCATGTTGCTAGCTGGATTGGAACTTTTCCAATAGCAAAAATGGACTCAAAGTTGTACTTGGAACCAAATAGTTTGAGGAAAGGCGTTTGCGAATAGTAGAATCCACACAGTGTTTTGTCAGGTTCTTAGGTTCCAGGGAGGTGATTAGGGAATTCCACAAATGATTCATTTGTATTTCATTTCTTAAAGGTATCTTAAATGTTTGAAAATTATGATAGATAAAGTGATACATGTTACACTTTCTATGTTAACATATTTCCATGTTACATATTTCTACCATGGGAAGGTCCAGGAAGGCATTAACTTGCCTACTTGGATTTTGTGTAGACCACAGTCATGTATTAAACAAATATTTGAGCGCCCCTACCAACTCTTTGTCTCCCAAATCAAGCAAAAATTAGCAACAAAAATGTAACCAACCAATGCAAAGATCAACCTTAAATAGATGTTGAAGCTCTGCAAAGTTACAGATAACATATTTCTAATAATTCTAGTTTCAAAATTTTTAAGTTAGCTTATTCAGTTGACTATAATTAACAAATATTATATGTAGGTACTTGTTGAATGAGTTTGTGTTCATAAAGAATTATCCTTCCAGGGCGCCTGGGTGGCTCAGTTCATTAAGCATCTGGCTCTTGATTTCGTCTCAGATCGTGATCTCAGGGTAGAGAGATCGAGCCCTGTGATGGGCTCCAAGCTGAGCCTGCTTAAGATTCTCCCTCTCCCTCTGCCCCCACCCCTCTGTCTCCCTCTCTCTAAAAAAAAAAAAAGAAAAAGAAAAAAGAAAAAAGTATTCTCCTTCCTTTCTTACATACTAGATTTCATTTAAAATTATTTTGAAATATGAAATATTAAAATTATTTTAAAATTATTTGAAATTTCATTTAAAATATTTGAAATACTCAAAATATTTCTCAGGAATTTATCAAAATATGTCAGGATAATAAGTCATCCGATGGTCACATATTCCTGTAGCTCTCTTAACTATTTCATATCTAAAAAGGGTCATGGTCTTTTAGAAACTAAAAGATTTAAATATACTTAAGGTGTGTGACTTAAATATATTGAGAGGTGGTATAGCTTAGCTCTCTCATGTCCTAAATGAAGAAACATGGACACTCTTAAAGTATGGGCAGGCAATTTCAGGAAGAATTTGTGGGAAATAGGGAGAAGGAATGCACCATTTAATCAGCCAGACCAGTAGCATTAACATGTTCGACTAATGGGGAGACATTTGTTGCAGTCAGATCTCATCCCAGGGCTAAGAATCAATTACGCAGGATCAAAAACTGGCCATTTGCAGTGCAAGACATGAATCATCTCAAAATGATATGTAGATGCACCTGTGAATGAACAATGAAGCCATGAAATAATTGTGGTGTAAGAACTCTTACTGTGTGTGTCTGTGTGTGTTGTGGGAGTGGGTGTGAGTGTGAGTGTGCGTGCTGGTGGGATTAGGAAGGGGTCATGGGATGACCGGTTGGTGAAGCTGAAAGGCACAGTGTGTCAAGGGGCAGCACGGTGTGAGAGGTCTTGATACTAATCCTGGCACTTTATCTTGTCTTAATAATCTTGAATAAATCACATCACTTCTCAATATGCAGACTTTTCCTCATTGGCAAATTGAAGGTGTATACCCTCCAATGACGACTCAGCTTTAGAATTCTTGAATTCTCTGCCTGTTTTTTTTTTTTTTTAAGATTAAAAAAAATTGAGGATGGTTTAAAAATAATGACGAATTTGCATCTTGCAACCTAGAAAATACCAAAAGAAAAGCTCTTGTGTTTTTTATTGCTTCTCTTCACTGGAGCACTGGGCATAGTGGCAGTAGTGGTGGTGGTGGCATCTCATAATTACTGTGGCTCTTTCTCTCTCTTTCCCTTCGATTTACCTATTGCATGTCTCTACCAGACTGATTTCTTACTGACCAGATGGTAGTAAGGGCACCATAGTTGGTAGGTGTTCAAATAGTGAGAGCAAATGGCTGGAATTCACCAGCAGTGGTGGGGGCGGGAGGGCTACTTTTCCAGTCCGACCCCTGATGGGCAGAAAAAAGCATGGTCAGTGCGGTTAGTTTTGCTTGGGGGGATGTGGACTGAGAATGTGGCGTGTTTCTTAACACAGATCAGTGTCTTCCTGTCTTGGTCTGTTGGGGCTGCTAGAACAGAACTTGACAGACTCCGGTGGCTTATGAACAGTGAAAAATTTATTTGTCAACAGTTCAGTGGTAGGGGTCCGAGAGCATGGATGGCTTCTGGGGAGGGCCCTCTTCTGGGCTACAGATGGCCGGCATCTTGCTGTGTCCCGTCCTTGAGTGGTAGAAGGGTGAAGAATCTCTGGGCCCTCTTTTACCAGACCATTAATCCCACTGATGAGGGCTCCACCCTTCTGACCTAATCACCTCCCCAAAGCCTGCCTCCTAGTACCATCACCTTTGGGGGTTAGGATTTCAATATAGGGATTTTGGGGAGATGTGGACCTGAAAGCTGGACCCATAAGTTTCAGAGAATGATCTCTCTACCTCCTCCAATCCACTCCTTAAGTAGAGAGAGGTCTTTGAACTTTCCTCTCCACTTATCCTGTCCAGAGCTCTACAGAACATGGTGGACACTCCCATCTTCTTTCCTCAATGGTGAGAAGGTCATTCCAGCTCTGAGTGTGTGTATGAGAAGTGCCTTTCTAGAAAGTTCCCAGATACATATGCATGTGTGCATGTGTACCTGTGTGTGTATGGCAGGGCGGTGGGTGTATGAGAGGGAGAGAGAGCGAGAGAGAAAGGGAGATAGGGGTGGGGAATGTGGTGGCCTTGCAACTCATCAGACCCCTTAGGTACTTAATTGGCCAAAAATATGCATAATTTCTTTTACTGAAAGTATTTACAGAAGAAATCTTTCTTAAAAGAGCTAGTGAGTTGAAGCATGTGATGATTGTAACCCAGAACCATGACAAGATGAACAATGCTGTCTTCTGTTCTACAAAGCCCGCAGTGCCATACCATCCCTAGTGACAACAGCCCCCGCACCTGAACAAGAGAGTCGCGCTGCCTTTTACCTCAAATCCGAAAGGGCTGGACAGCAGTTCTCTTTCCTTCTCTGCACAATATTGGGAATTTCAGTGTGTCTGGAAATTTCAGTATTTTCAGTAATTGCAATAAACTGTCTCTAAGTGGCTACAATTGATCGAGTGCCTGCAGTGGCTCAGAGACCTCTCTAACTGTTCTCCTTGGATGTAAGGCTCACAACAGCTGCAGGGAGTAGGTGGGTGATTAGCCCCCCCCTTACAGATGAGAAGACCGAGGTGGGAGTGCTTCCTTCACGAGGCTGTGTCGTGGCACAGCCTTGGCTCTCACAGAGCTACTCCTAGGCACACGGGGACCCTGGCTCGGGCAGGAGGGGCAAGGGCCCGCGGTTTGTCCCCCAGCACGGGGGGCACCGCCATCCTACACTCAGTGGAAGCTGCCTCGCCAAACCACTTCAGTGGCCTCTTCACCACACTCTTTCCGAACCTCCAATTTACTCTCTGAAATAGTGCCAGAGAAGCTCCCAGAAGCATTGCTTGGCACATGCCACCTCCGCCGCTAAGCTGTTTGTGGAGGACACCCACCCACCCACCCCCCCCTTATTACAGACAGCTCTCGCAGCCCTCTGTGCAGACCCGGATTAAGGATGCCTTTGACGAGGGAACGTGACAGCAGCGTCTATTTGTATTTAGTCAAGCTGAGGCAAGGCTTCCAACAGAAACCTCTTCCTGCAGGGGAAGGACCAGCATCGGGGCGCGGGCACTCGCAGAAGTGCCCAGCCTCCGCCTGCTGGGAACCCGAGGCCAGCACGACTCCCGAGGAGAAGGCAATGACTGGCTATAAGGCACACGGAGCACCGGGCTCCCTGTCCTCTGGCCTGCATGGTTTTGTATGGTCTTATTTCAACTCGGATGCAGAATCCATTGCCTGTGTCCTTTGGTCCATTCCAAGTAGGTCAAGAGAGTCAGTTAATAATTGAGATTTACCTTAGTGTCTCACACACACACACACACACACACACACACACACACCATTTTCCCTGACTTTCTTGCCAATCCCACATGTATACCTATTGACATAATGAATGCCTCTCTGAACTCTGAGGTGCAAAGAAAATACATTCTTAGCCAGAGGATGCTTGGGAAGCCAAAAATCATTACTTTGTTTTCCCTTATTCTCATAATTTTAATGACCTGTAATATTTTAAGTCTATTAAAAATAAAACTCCTCTCTTTTTGTATTTTGTAGAAACTACCTCTTCAGGTTACAGCTTGAGGATTTGTCTCTGATCCAGGTAGGTGCAATTTATCTTTCTCAAGCTTTCATTTTCAGCCCCAATTAGCTTACTGTTTGAGGGGATGAAGACAGATGTGTGTAAAGGTAGTAATCATGACTGAGCGGGGGCTCATTTCCCCAGCAGGCCAGGCTGCAGGACTCTTGGCTGCCCTGCTTGACATGGGTCATCACCTGCTGATATTCCCCATTGGCCCCTTCCTCTTACTGTGCGGCCTCCCTTCCTTTCATGGGCATCATCCTGATTTAGTCTTCGTCAAACAATAGACAATTCAAAGGACACTCCCTCAATGTCTGGGAGCACCTTTTCTTGCCCGTTAGAATAATTGCTGATTATTTAGTTTGCTGCCTTCAGCCATCAATTTTTGTAAAAGTCAATTTCTTTAGAAAAAGATCTTTGTTTCCTCCTTATTATTTATAATGAAGTAAATATAAATATGATGGTTAAAAGCCACATATAGCAAAGAATAAGTGATGATAGGTAAAAATGCAGTTTACTTACTTCCGGTTACATAGTTTGAAGAAGGAGTCTGAGATCCTTCTGCCTGAATAGGGTATTTATTTTAGTGACAGATGTGAGTCACAAAAGCCCACTTTGCCCTCCAGGGTTTTAGAATTGTCATAACCAGGGTCTCCTTGGACAAGGCAAGAGTTAGGACATGAATATCTTCCTTGCTGAGCATCTGGAACTCCCAGTGGCATGTGCCAGGACTCTTGGGCGGTGTGCAGCTTGCGACAAGTTCTTCAACCAATTTTAATGTTACCCTCGTGTACTAGAGCTCTAAGAAGTAGTGGAGAGAAGTTTATGTTAGTTTCTTCTCTACATAATGCTGGTATTTGCAAGTATCCAGGAAACTTTAGAGCAAGTGTTTAATATTAGACCTTTTATTCACCAGGGCTTCAAAATAAGCCAAAGCTAATTTTGTTAAAAAGCAAGGGCTTTGAGGATCTCTAGACCTAGGTTTGGGATATAGCTTCAAGCATCCCGGAAACTATGAGTTTCCTCATCTGGGAAATGGCCACAAGGCCCTACTATCCTCATGCTGTCACAGCTAAAATTAAAGGAAGGTATGCAAAAGGGAGAAGGCATAGTGATTTCTCAACAAATGTTAATTGGTTTTGTTTTTAAAGGTGATAGTGATAAATAATGACTTATAATCATTTCATCCCACTGTCAGTGAATTAATGGTCTTGCCACTGCAATTTAGGATGTAAGTCTTTTAAATGAATTGATTTGTTGGTAAAATCATGAATATATTAGTAAGAAATCAGAATGATCAGTTTAACCAAAATGCTGTTTTTTAAAACTCTGATTTTCAATAATCATTATGGAATGTATAGATCTTGTGATAGATGGGAACTATATATTATGCTTATTTTGATTCTCATGCTATACTAGATTGTCTGCCCCAGTGTGTGTGGAGAAAAGTGGAGTGCATAGACATTTGTGGGTACATACTCATTTTCTCGTCTTTTAGTTGTCTTGGCTGAGAGGGTCTGGAAGCATTGGTGTCCTAGTAGCAATGAGCACATTTAGTGTATAATTCTTGGCTTCTTCTTCTTTTTTTAAGATTTCATTAATTATTTGAAAAAGAGCCCAAGAGTGGGATGCAGGGAGGGGCAGGGGGAGAGGGAGAAGCAGACCCCCTGCTGAGCAAGGAGCCCCTTGTGGCTGGATCCCAAAATCCTGGGATCATGACCTGAGCAGAAGGCAGAAGCTTAACCGACTAAGCCACCCAGGCGCCCCTACAGTGCTTGGTTTCTAAATTTAATTCTCCACTAAAAAGAACCAAATTTCTTGGAGAAGTAGCTGGTTCCAGGGCCTGGGCAATTAAAGTCCCAGAGAAGCCTGGAGGATCTTGTTGTTTCAGAAATTAAAGACATATTCAAAGCATGTTGAGGGCAGGTCAGAAGTACCCAGGAGGCAGCTGGAAGTGGGCTCAGTAAAGAAATCTGGGACAATGTGATTGTTAAAACAAATAATGATGGTATCAGGTCATAACATGTTGAATAAACTAAGAATCAATGAGGACGATATACTAACATCGAAATAACTGGGTATTCAGATGAGGCAGAGGGCCCATTCTTCTGTCAAATGCCGGCTGACAAATACTGAATAAATGACTTAATTATAAAATCAATATTTGGCAACCACGATACTAAGAATTGATTCAGGCACAAATGATCAACGGCTGTGAAATCTATGGATGAGACTCGGATGATGACAAGATATTTATATAGCCTCAAAGTATTTACCAGAAACATATGTATTAATCATAAGAGGACAATTGTCATTTGATGGTGAAGAAACCCAGGCAGTCTCACACCATAGCCGAGTACTCAAAGGCCCCGTGGTGGGACAAAGAGCCAGAAAATGTGTCCTTATTCCATGTATGGAGAAGGACACAGCAGAATTTCCTTGATATTCGGACTACATATTATAACCAGTTTGTCAGGAGAAACCATCACATAGACCAAAACTGAAGGGCATTATATAAAAAATTGGCCTCTGCTATTCAAAACTCACCAGGCCATGAAAGGCATGACAAGAAAGAAGGACTAGTTTCTCATCAAGGAGAAAAAAATGTCATGGCAATCAAATGATACACTGGGTCCAACTTGTATCTTGAAACAGATTTTTTTTTTAAATTATGGATGCTATTGGGACAATTGACAAAATTTTAATGTCTGTAGCTGAGGTCATAGAATTGTATTAATTTTCTGATTTTGATAACTGTGATGTGATCATGTAGGAGAATGATCTTGTTCTTTGGAGAAATCTACTGAGATAAGTCAGGGTAAAGGGGATCATTTAACTTATTCTGAAATCATTGAAAAAATGGTAATTCATGCCCATAGAGACAATCAATGATAAAGCAAATGTGATAAAATAATTAATGGGGAAATCTAAGAATTTAGGTGAAGAATTTAAGATAGTCCATTATGTTTTTCTTGCAACTTTTCTTTATTTCAAAATAAAGAGATGCAAAGAATGGGACCATGCGTTTGCTGTTGACCTGTGTACACTATTGCTGGGGGAGTGGGGATGAGGAAACCAAATTGCTTTTCCCATAGTTGGTTCCCATTGTTGTGGTTGCCTTTTGGTGGAAATCAAGTTTATGCTATTGACGGAACTGTGGAAAACCCATCACCATCACCTCCTGGTGAGAGAGCACAGTCTTACTCGCAGAGGACCCAACAAGAAGACCGTGACTTTCTGAATGGTGGCTTTGACCACCCAGCCCTGGTGACAACTGTCAGATGTTGCTGTGTTGTTGGTGCAAAAGAGTGCAATTCTCCTCTTAACACATTTTGTGGTTGCGTGTGCTGCTTGGTAGCCTATTGTTGACTCAGTGTGGGGAGAGAGAGAGTTGGCAGTTCTTCCCTACAGACTGTTCTTTCTTACATGTCTTCAGTAAAGCAGTCTTATTGATTTCTATGAATAATTTATTCTAATCTAAATGACTCTTTCCAAGAGTGACCAAAAAGGGAGGCATACCAATAAGGACAGGGTTGTACTTGTGTTATGAACGGTGCTGTCCAATAAAACATAATGTGAGCCTCATGGGTAGTTTATTGAAGCTGGTGGCCACATTGAAACCAGTACAAAGAAACAGGAGTTATTTTTAATAATATATTTGTCTTGGGATCCCTGGGTGGCGCAGCGGTTTAGCGCCTGCCTTTGGCCCAGGGTGCGATCCTGGAGACCCGGGATCGAATCCCACGTCGGGCTCCCGGTGCATGGAATGGAGCCTGCTTCTCCCTCTGCCTGTGTCTCTGCCTCTCTCTCTCTCTCTCTCTCTCTCTCTCTCTGTGACTATCATAAATAAATAAAAATTAAAAAAAATAATATATTGGTCTTAACTCATTGCATCAAAAATATCATTTCAAAATGAACTCATTACCAGAAATGAATGAGATGTTACTTTTCTTTTCTTTTCTTTTCTTTTCTTTCTTTTCTTTTCTTTTCTTTTCTTTTCTTTTCTTTTCTTTTCTTTCTTTTCTTTTCTTTCTTTTCTTTCTTTTCTTTTCTTTCTTTTCTTTTCTTTTTCTTTTCTTTCTTTTTTTTTTTTTTTTGCACTAAATCTATAAAATCTAGTGTGGATTTTACACACATAGCACATTGTGAGTCAGACTGATCACCATTCAGGAGCTCAGCATGGCAAGTGCTCCTCAGTTAGACCATGCTGTTCGAGAGAGTGTGTGCAGAAGCACTTATGACTTGAATGCATTCAGTTACGGCATAGAAATGTTATTTTCTATTAGGATCAGCTGGATTAATTTGAATATCTCAGGCTACTAATTGTTTCCTTCCTTTTCTCACTAAAGATAAAAAATGGATGTTTAAACATGAGAGAATAAGGGGCCTGAGATGAGGGAAAAACAACTTGCAGCAAAGTGGAGAGAATCAGAATTGAGAATCTACAATGGTACTTTTTTCCCACTAGGCAAGGCTTCATTTGATCTTGCCCTCCTCTTCATGACAGCGGGTCTGCTTCCTGGTGGCTGTGTGTCTTGTTCGTGTCCCTCTCCGTCACCTTGAGGCACCTCCACCTTGTTTGTCATGTCAAGCTGCTTGTAGATTCCTAGCCTGGAGGCTCTTGCCCAATGTCAGGCATATCTGCTTTTGCTGTTTGTCCTCCTTAATAAACACTTTAACCCCATCATCATCTTAATCTAGGAAAGGCTACCGATCTGGAGTCCCTCAAAGCCCCAAAGGCTGCTGATCCTGAGTTACCTCCTCTTTGTAACTCATCCCAAATCAATTTGGACCGGTGACCCTCTGATCATTTCACAGCCTCATGGCCTCTATTTCTGACGAGTCCCTATTGTTTCACCTGGAAGTTCTCTCTCTGTCGTGAGGAGTGTTCTCTTGCTGTCTTGTTGATGTTGGGTAGGAGTGGATCATTAGGTTACCTGGCAAGTGGTAGACTCAAGACAAATGTCTGCTTTCCTCCCTTGATTTTGAGTAATTGGTTCACTCTTTAACTTTTTAAACTT